CCTACGTGTCATGGTCCAGTCCTTTGACACGCCCCAGTGGCACCTCGCGTCCGAGGAGCTCACCATCCACATTCAGCACAACCAACAGGTCGTGGTGCAGAAGTTCCGGAACCCCTGTAACCCGGACGGGCCAACGGCAACCATCAGCCGAGAAGCAGAGGAATCCAGTGCTCTCTACGACCACTACTACAGACTTTTCTGAGCACTTCGGGCCATAGGCGGTTCACTGACTCACGCAAGGAAAGTGGCACAGCCTCCAATCAGGTGTGGCACAGCCACCCAACTTGTCACAGTCAGCGAAGAGTGGCCCACCTGCCCAGAGAAACCGACGTTGCAGCATGCCAACACTCAGCTACTTGCATCATCGTTTGCTCTTTCCTGTGATCTGAGGTCTCAGCTACAACACGGCACCAGCTATCCAGCCCGAGTGCCCTCTGCTGGTGTTCTTTGCCTATAGTCGTCCTGCGTTGCTTGAGCTTCGTGCTTGGTCTTGAGACTCTGCAAAGCATCACATGTATACCGCAGCTGTCAGTTCGAACTGTCGCTACCGGAAACAGCGGCAGGAGTATTGCAACATGCATTACAGACACGCCTTGCAGAAGCTACATTCCGTAACAAACTGCGTTTTTGCGAAGAGCACAGCTCACCACTTGGCCGCGTGTCACAGACTCTGGCCCATCAGCTACAGCTGAGACCATGGACAAACCTCCCAGTCTGGGCCCCTTTCTGGTGCTCAGCGACAGCACCTTGCAGCACATGCTGCGGGGACACACTTACGGAGTGTTCCCGCTGCTGACGGGACAGGTCTTAAGCTGTCCAGGCGCCGCCCTCAACATCTCTGCCGGCAGCGTCCCCTCCATCTTGGAGCTCCTCCACTGGCAATTTGGGCTCTTTGGGCCGCACAAATTCACAGCGGCAGTGCAGAGTCCGCCGGTGGCCTCCATCTTGGAGAACCACCTCGACGGACAAATCAACGTTCGCTTCATTCCGCTGTCCCGAAGCCTGCGCCCGGAGAAGCAAATCAATTATGACTACCTGATCGATGGCAGGGTCCAATATGGATTTGCGGACAAGAACCTGCACAACCAGGAAATCATGGACCTGGCCCAGATGCCTGGTGTAGGAGGGGTAGAATGGCTCTACAACTCCAAGAATCTCCATTTCCGCCCCGACGTCGCGGACATTGTCATCCCGGCGCTTGTAACCAGAGCCATCGAGGAAATGCGCAACACCCCAGGACTGCCTGTCCTCGTGGTAGCTGGTTGGAACGCTCGCGAGCAGGACATGCATGTCGAAATGCTCGCTGCCCAGGCTCTGTCACAATGCCGAACGGTCCGTGATCTTTCGGAGGTAGCCATGCAATACGGACATGGCCCCTGGGGAATGCGCTTCACACATCTCCCAGAATGGGAAGACGCCCCTGTCCCAGCCCTCCTCTTCCAGACCTACGTTCACGACGAAAAGCCGGAACCGGCCCAAGTTGCGGCCAAAATGTTTGCTGGCTTCACCCGCAGATTCTGTAATGATGATGTCCTTCGGGCAACCCTGCGGCAACTCGCAGGAAAGTATGGCTCCAATCTGCTAGATCGCCTCAGCCAACCTGCTCATCGAGCAGACGTGTTCCGCTACGTCTACCACTACCAGCACGGCGGCCTTTACGTCGACATCAAGTGTGGCTTCGTGGTACCTTGGGAACAGGTACTCGTGTATCTCGCAGCAGATTGGAGCACAGCTCACTCAAAGAAGGCAGGTGAAGTGGGTCACAGACCCTCCCCACCTGGCCAACTCCCACAGGAGTTCATGGTCATGGCCATAGGAGTCAAAGGAGATCACATTTTTCAAGGCATCATCTATGGCAAGCCCAGACACCCCTTGATGAGGGAAGCCATACAGCACGCCTTCAGCCGTCAGGTTATGACAGCGAAGGCAAACTTGGAATACATGACCTTCTGCAAATATCTTTGGCAGATCTTGGGTCGTGACCTTGGTCACTCCCCTCAGCCGGGATGGAATGTTTCCACCAAATTTGGCCCCATTTACCTGTTCTCGGAGCGCTGGGACAAGCGAGTGAAGAACAAGAAGTACGACAATGATGGCCACTATTTCGTGACTACCAACAACACGACCGTTGCATATACCCGGTGCTGGAAGTGGCTGAAGGGATTTCAGGGAGACCCCACCACCAAAGAACGCACAGACCGCATGCTGCAGAGCCAGCTCCCTGACATCTCCCTTGAAATCCAGTCTGACAGACCCGAAGAGCACAGCTCACCACAGCCGCCTAGGTCACAGACCATGGCAACGGCCTCATCGGCTCCCCCTCCTCCCACTCAGGAGGATATTGAAGCCTATGTGGCCGACAGCATCCAGTACAACTCCTTTGCAGAGATCATGGCTACGGTCCGTGAAACCCACCACTACAACCAAGACCTTACAGAGCAGGATGTGCTGGAGCTTATCCCTCGAGGATTAGGGCAAGTGAAAGTTTCGGGGGACATGTGGTTATGCTGCTTGCACTGCCGGAAGCACAACAGGCAGGTGCAATTCAGCACTAGCCACGGCCTTAAGAACCACTTTGTCACTCAGAAGCACAACCCAGCACTCAGTGCCACGCCCGACCCCCACACTCCTCCCCCTCCCCCTCCCCCCAAGCTCCCACAGGTAATTCCTCTTCCCCCCAGCAGTACCAGGACCAAAGGTGTAGACAAAGCAGCCGGCTTTGAGCCGCCACCCTCCCCCCCGTGCCCTTTCACTTCCTCAGCAGCTGAAAAGGCGGCTTTCAAAGCAGGCCAAGCAGAGACACCGAAGGCGGCCCCGGCGCTTCCGGTTAAGGCCCCACCGCCCATGGTGGCCACCCAATGCCCCCCGCCCTCTTCATCCTCGGCAGCACCAGCTCCCCCTCCGGCGATTCCAGTTCCCCCGTTCCTTCCGCACCCCCCCAAGTCCGTCTCTCCCCCAACCCCCGCCACCCAGGCCGCTCCGCGCTCCCACACGCCCCCTCCTCCCTCTTCCCGTCCCCCGTCAGCATATGAGCCTCCGGAATCCAATGCGGAACTCGTCGGCTATGTCCCTCAGCCGGCTCCACGGCTGACAGTACGTTACACACGGCAGGAGCTGGCTCAGCTGCTGAGCTCCCAGTCCCATCAGGACTGGATTCGGGCCTTAGCTTCCATCAACATCCTGGTGGCTCCAGTCATTCTTGGCGGCCTCACCAACCAGGAACAACAGACCCTTTGGTCTACCAGGATGGAAGCACTCCGAGAAGTTCCGCCGCTGTTCTCTGCCATCAAGTCCGTAAGGACGCAAACCGGCCTCACATGGGACACCGCCATGTCGGTGAGGCGTGTCCTCACAAGCGATGGGAAGGTCACCATCGCCACAGGCGCGGGTGACGCCTACCGTGAGCTGGACGCACCAACAAAGGTGCATGGCCTTATCCATGCCTGCTTCAACAAGATGTGGGACGAAAAGGCCTTTCGGCAGCACTTCCCCTCGTGGGTCGAGTTCAATATGATCGCCACCACCATAGTGGCAGTCTACAATGAGACGGCCAAATCAGCCGGACTCCCAGCTCGTGTCTTCCGGGTCAAACCCGACAAAAATGCCTACTCCATCATGAAGATGCGGATACAGCATGACAAAGGGAACGAAGAGGACAAGCGCATGGCCAAGCTGGCTGCTGCTGCAACTCACAAGCGCCCACAGATGCAGGAGGCAGACACAGAGGGCAAGCGGCAGCGCGATGGCCCCTCCTCATCCTCCTCGTCCCAGTGGGCCAGACAGGCACGCTCATCTCAGGACGACGACTGGGACTGGTGGCAGCAGTGGTCCTGGCACGGATACTCTAAGCAGTGGCCAAAAGGTCATGACCAGTGAGGGCGATAATATGTCACAGACTCTATGATCCCTTATGTCACAGACTCAGGGAATTCGGCACTCTTCCGACGCCTAGCACATCTCTTCGGAAGACTGCGAATCGCGTGCTAGCCTCGCTTAAAACAGCACTTTGCGCTTCAGCAGATTGCCAGCATCGAAGCTGCCCCAAGACTCACGACACCGAAATTGCCTCAGGTACCAGCGGTCATCCGCACATGACCCTTACGGCCTTCTGTCTTCAACATGAGTAATCCGTGTGGGACGCCACGAGACGGATACTCCGGGTGGCGGCTTCATCTGAGGTACGGCCTATTTGTTGAGACAGGTGCACAGATGGACGCGTCTGTTCACGCCAAGGTGTCGGAGAAGGAAGCTTTTTAGTCGAAGTAGCAGTTGAAATAGTTTGTCAAGTTCGAGCTGATTAGAGAGACATGAGCGATGCATGCTAGAAGCAGTTTCACGAGTGCATGAGACCAATGGCGCCCGCAAAGCGCAGAGCACGCTCGCGCAGCGTTCAATTGAAAAATAGTAGTATTAGTAGTAGTAGTAGTAGTCGTAGTAGTAGTAGTAGTAGTAGTAGTAGTAGTAGTAGTAGTAGCAGAAGTAGTGGTAGTGGTAGTGGTAGTGGTAGTGGTAGTGGTAGTGGTAGTGGTAGTGGTAGTGGTAGTGGTAGTGGTAGTGGTAGTGGCAGTGGTAGTGGTAGTGGTAGTGGTACTACACACCTTGTTGCCGTATTTGCACGCGGTGCCTGAGTGGATCTGCGCATTGCTTAGTTCAGGTATGGGCTCGCACTCGCTGATGTTTGGGGACTTTGGTGGGCTAAGTTTAGAGCCCATGTAATTTAACAAAGTTAGGGCTAAGAAATCCAGGTACCCTTAAATCCGGAAACGACTTCTGCATAAAAACATGCGCTGCAAGCAACATTGACAAAATCTGTGGTACCGTCTAAAAAACACGTGTTTCTTAAGCGGTGCTGTCCCTGAAATTCTGAGTAGAAGGCTAGGAACGAAAAAGGATCACAAGGCAGTTCAACATGCTGTAAAACAAACTTGCAAGCAGTACTCGTAAACATGCCACGCTGCAACACATAGATGATGTAAGGCAAGAACCTGATATTGTGCACCCTACTTGCACTTCATCTTGAGATGCCTGCACAAGCAAGAGTTCCATGCATGTGCGTGTGCATGCACATGCACATACACATGTTCTGCATGCTCGCCCAGGCAGACAGACAGGAGCGATGGTGTTGCCTCGTAGACCACGCGCTGTGGTCCGCTAAACCGTCCACTCCTGAGACTCTCGGAAATGTCCCGACAGAGCGGGACACTGAAGCAAAGCTGCTGGTTAGGCTTCAAAGATATCATATCAATAGGCTGTCTCCCCCATCTACAAGAGCTGCGCAGTTGATGCAAGCGAGGTTTCCACTGAAATTTGTGTGCTTGCATGCCTAGGCTCTGGGCTATCACAGCAGTAAAGCTGGCTGGCTGGCCCTTGCAGGTGCAACAGACTTCTGCTTTGAAGCTGGTACTTATTCACGAGAACCTCTGAACACTGCAAGCGAGATACACTGGCCAGGAGCAGGTTACATCGGCAGTGTACCCGTGGTATTCTGCCCCTTAGTTTCCAAAACACACCGACCTGCCTCCGGCTGCCGTCTCAGGCGTCTCTCAGGCTCCAGCCCATGTCAAGCAGTCTCAGGGACCCTGGCTCCACAAGCCTCGGGAGGCCGGAGCCCAGGAGCTCGCCTTCGACTCGCCGTGGTGGCAACGGCTGTCGACTGAGGCGAGGCGCTCAGAGTTTGGCTCGGCAGCGTGGCCGTAGTGGAGGATGGCATTACCTGAACTCACCACGCACAGAGCGCACTGCGTGCCGGAGTCGATGTTGCTTCTCGCGTTTTGAGCCGAGCGGCGCCTGCCCGAGCCGCAGATGCAGCTGTAGCCCACACGGAAGCAGCCGTGGAGGGCGGCCTCGGAGGGCTTCGATCCGTGCGAAGGCCGTAGGCGGGCCACTCCAGCACTCCCGCCTTGTACTTGAAGGTGGCCTCTGCCAGGTGCTCCCGTTGACCACCCTTCACCGCCCGCATGGTCTCAATGTGTGCCTCTGAAGACACGTCATTCGTCCACCTGAACTTCTCATGTGCAGCATGAAACTTTACCTGTGCTGCTCCGAAGCTCAGCACCTATGTTTGCATTGAGCTGGCAGACGTGCTTGCTGCCGTGCATGACATGTTGATCTGAGTAAGTGACACTGCAGGCTATCTCGTGTGCAGCTGCTGCCAACTAGCGCTTCTCAAGTCCCAAGGTGCTGAAGCAGCTTTAGCTCCTCTTCGTCCTTCACCTGCCAACGGGACGTTGTTGCTTCAACGACTGCGACGATCCTGGAACATCGTGGGGAACCCGAAGATCCTGGAACATCGTGGGGAACCGAAAGCTGAGAGCCAGGCTGAGCGAATTTCGTTCAGCTCATCCCACAGCGCACTGCTGCCTGCAAGATGTGGACTCGAGGCTGAGCATGCATTGCGCAAGGAACAAAAACATGGAATCAGTGTTGGCCTTTGCTGTTGAGTTGAAACGTATCCTGCGCGATGCACTCCGAGCACTCATCCCATAGGCGCGAGCATGTTCTCACAGCGCTAGGTAAAATCTGACGACGAAACACCGTGAAAAGACATGTCAATTTGACGTTACTTGTACATCTCGCGTGCAGATGAGTCCTTGCCATCGAAAGTGGGTTCTTCCAGTTGGAGACCGGAGTCCTTGTTGCAATCAGGGTGACCTACATAGAAACCCTGTGCGACTAAACGTACGAGGGTCTCTGTTGGGCGACCCACGGACGAAAAGAAGCTCCTCACAAGCAGGGGGCCGATCTTCCTCTTCATGATCCGCTCTGTCACAGAAGCCGTGGCCTTGGCACCCAAGTCTAGCAGCGTCTGCTGGATCTCATCAGTATGTGCGACCTGGCAGGGTGTTCGTTGCTCCCTACTCTGTCACGGCTCTTGGGAAGCTGTCACCTTCCCAAGAACCGCGAGCCGAGGAAAAACAAGGACCTTTCGGCTTCTTTTGGCCTCCTCGATGCTGTAGGCTTTCTCGAACCAGGCCTTGAAAAAGTTGCAGGCATCACACACTATTTAGGGTACTAATTTAGAGTTTGGGTTGCGGGACCTCTTCACATATTGCCAAGCCCTGCACAAAGCAAGCCCCCACCCCCCCACCACCCATTTGCATGTTGTACGAAGATGCTGCCCAGGCACCGGCGGCTTGATGGGACCGCACCAGGCCTGGTAGATGTTGTCCATCCTGGCAACGTCTTTGGAAGAGGGCTTCCGAGAAAATTGATGCCAGCTCAGTCTATTCTTAGCTGCAAGCTCAGCCCTAACCTCTCCTAAGCACATCCTGTCAGACTATGCACGGGTACACCTGCGCTCCCCGGTCAAGCCTGGGGATAAAGAGCACCGCATGCGCGTCGCGAACACGCAAAGCGGCAAAGCAGTCGGGCTCCTTGCGTCAGGAGCTGACTAGATGAGATGGCTTCTTCCATGTCTTTTTCGCTCTACGTTTTGTGACCTTTGCCCACTTTCCCCAAGACAAGTATATTAGACCCCTCACATCTCTCGTCACAACTGAACTTCACGGACAAGTCCCTCATGCACTCGCCATCTTCCACGACTCAACCAAAGCCTGCCATGTCCGAGACTAAGCTTCCAGTGCAGGACTCCAAAGCTGGGTTTGCTTCACGGAAAGCAAGCTGCCAGCAAGCTGCGTCCCACCTACACACGCATGGTCTGCGAGAGAATGAGGGATGCAAAAGACGGGATGAGTCAATCTTCTCAGTCAGTGGTAAGAGAGGCGTTGGGTGTGCCCAATCCTTGACTCCGAAGAGGTACTGGAAGTTGCTCTCCTGCTTGAAATCCCAGTTGGTGTCCTCGGAAAGGTTGGCTACACATGCTACCACTACATGGGACACGGCCGTGCAGGCAAAAAAGAGTGTGCGCCCAGTCTTGAAGTCGCCAGAGGAGTTCATGCCATGCGGGCCGAGTCTCCGTGTCGTAGACGCTGGCCTCTTTGCCTCCTTGAAGGAAGATCACCGCATCTCTACCGATTTCCGCTCTCTCGCGCAGAACCTGTCACTGGAGAGATCTGACATAGGGCATTGGGCAGGAGAGTCGATCAAGAGCATGTACGCACCAGCACGACTGCTTCTGCAAGCGTTGTGTTCGATGACAAATCGGGATGCGCTGTGACGATTTGCACCTTGAACTCTCCGGCTGCTTTGCGAACTGCGAGAAGATTCCCCGGCTTCTTTTTACACTTCCAACTCGCGTCAGTTCCTGTGTCCTTCTGTCTGGGAGCAGGCTGTTTACTTTCACGGATCCAGAAGCTCTGACCTACCTTTTGCTTCACGGATGCGTGCTCAGGGTCCTGAAGTGCCCCGCCTGGCAAAGCTTCTGCCGGTGAGCGGCATGCATCGCCATGGGAACACGTAGTGTGCCTGTGAAGTGAGTCATATCGGAACTCTATACAGGTTCCCGTACAAGAATCTCTACCTTCCCTGAGCTGCCAAGATTTCACGTCTCTCAAAAAAAGCTTCGCCTGCACCCATGGAGAAGAAGGGCATGCCGTCCCGATCCCAGGAAACCTCGGCCGCGCTCGGCTGCAGGCATCTCGTGGACCCCTTCAGACTTCATACCCTCACTCCCCATTCAAGGGCTGGGCACCCTTGTCCGGGTCAAGACACCAAAGCCCATTTCATGCGATCGATAGCTCATCCAGCTAGGCACGACATAACTAGCATCCCTGCACCAGTCAAGGCCATGGAACTGTTCCTCCCGTGACCATGGGACCGATGCCTGTTCATAGGGAGCATCGGCTGGACGCGGTGAACTGCAACTCCCTCTTTGACCACTTTGAACTCGCAGCTTTCTATCAGCGCTTGCAATGGATAATGGATGGCTATGCCTTCATTTATCTTAAGCTATGCTTACCGTGACCCCGGCGAGCTTCAATACACCAGGGCAGGCTGATTCGCAGTCTGCTGCCTGCTGCCCCGTTGTCCATCTTGGCTTTTTTCGCCGGATGTGCTGCCATGGCCATCGTCGAAACAGCTTGCACCTCTACTGTGCAGAGTGCTCCCTGTAGATACTTGTCCATGACCGTTGGTCTTCGTTAAAGACAGTAGTATACAGGGCATAAGGGCACAGGTGCAGGGCTAACAGTGTCGGTCCTTGGCACGGAGCCTCGCAGCTGCGGTATCTCACTTCTTAGACGCTGACTTCTGTTGAGCTCATGAACGACTCCGTCAGTATCCCCGAACCCCAAGCACAGCCGTTGTGGTCACTCGGTGTCGCGGATAAGATTCTGAACCTGGACCGTGAAGTCCTTGGCGCAAGGATTCAGAGATCCGTGAGGCAGATGTTACCGGAGATCGTCCCCGAGTACGCACATCGATGATTTAGCAGCCGCCCAGCTCTTGACGCCGACGCTGGACGTGTTACACGAATCATGCAACAGTCACGCAGATAAGGATTTCTCCTGGAAACGAGATTATTGGATCCGATCAGCCGGTTGAAGCACTATGCCCTCAACCTGAAACCGAAACACGTGACACGACATGAAGCCACATGGACCCTCAACGAGAAAGGAAGCAGGGAAGGCGTACCGTGGCTGCCGTCAGCACTGTCGAAGAGAAGCTTGCCGCGATGATCTGCAAAGCAGATGCTTCAGCTTCCACTGTCTTCAAACCGCTGCTTCCCCCGACAAACGGCGATCCGGCCTGGTTGATGCTTGGAGGTGTGAACTGGTCCCGGACAGCTGTACACCAAGCTGTTCCAGGCCTGGCCGAAGGATCCAAGCGGGCCATGGCCATGGCCCGACGATCCAGCGAAGACGGCAGCAAGTCTCAGTTGCGGAAACCGTTCAATGTGGCGGCTCCGCTCGTCCAGTTGCAACGTCACGGTCGCCCTGCCAGCAGACGGCTTTCAGACGAAAGCAGGCTTGAAGTGGCATCTGGTGAGACTCCGAGCGCCAGACGTCGTTTCGCTGTTGGAGGCGATTGAGACGACGGTGATGATCGGTGGGGTCAAATCCAACGTGAAGCGGCCTGCAAACCACTGTGCTCCAATGCGATCGCACGTGAGCTGGAATGAAGAAGTTAGACGTTACGTGTAGCATTTGTATTTCTGAACCTGTCGTGCATTCCGCAAAGCTTTCTGATGCATCCGTCTTACCCGTCACCTATCCCCAGCATTCCCCGAGAGTGCTCAGTAGTGCTTGGCGAATCTCGCAAGTCGGCCTAACACAAAACAAATTCGCAGAAATGGAGCCATGGCCTGTCGCTTCAACGAGCACCGGCAAGGCTTCGTTGTTCCTCAGGCGGGCGCGTGGCTCACATCAGTGGAGTGAATTCACAAGCCCACAAGCTGAATTCGCGAGGCTTGACGCAATGAGGCGCAAGCGAAACAGGTGCTGGGTCGATGGTGGTGGCACCCTCCACGAGCTCGTCGTCTTCTGCTGCGCAGTAGACGAAGTACCTACAACAAAGAACGGCGTCCGGCATGTGCTTTGTACACTCCGTGCAAACGTGCAGCGATGCATAAACAAGCGAAGCCACTTGGTTTCCATGGTGAGGCCAGAGACCTTGATGTCGAAGTTTTTGTAAATGTTGTTCCTGACAATATCAATGTTTGATCTCGGACTCGCGGAGAATGCGCCGCAGAAAGCTCTGCACATCGGCATGGGCACTTTTGTGGTCCAAGTCTCCAGTTTGTGACGGTGTTCTTGTAGACGGGCTGGCGCAAGAGGTGCTGTGTAACATCCACACAACAACAGGAAAAACTCAAAGCAGCGAAGCAGGGGGCGAAACCCTGAAGAGTGACAACAAAGCTGGCACCAAACCACGTCAAGGAGAAGGCCTTCTGTCAGAGGGCCTCTGAGCACCCTCAGCCGGAACCCTTCTCTCTGAGGCTGGCACTGCTGTGATAAGTGCGGTGTAAAGTGCAGCATCCACTGTCTGCGTGGTGGTGTAGGCCTTGCAATACCTGCAGCTTCTCTTGCGTCATCGGCCGTGCCAGGCTTGACAGGCTCAAGCAAGAGCCGTTTCTCCGTACTCAAGCACGCCACTCTGGCATGCCTGAATCCCTTAACACAATACTCTCCCGGCGGCGGACGCTGTCCCTGGCTCATCCAGCTGAAGCGTAACGGTGATGGAGGACTCCTCCGTCGACTCCTGGCCACAAGATACGGCAGACTGACATATCGTACAATGTGTATGCTGCCAGATGCTACAGAAAAGGCTGGGTGGTCGATCCCTCTCCGCTCGCAAGAACCAAGCTTCAATTTGCCAGGTGCACCGCTTCCACGAAAGTGATGGTGGGCGGCGTTGTGTCTGGAGTTCTGACCTCACAGTCGTCTGGCTATTGCTCCCCCTGCGGATCATAAGAACAAACGGTTTCAAAATCTGCGCATCGTCTTAGTGGGAGAGGGATCCGGAGGCGCGTTTGACTGTTGTCCCACAAGTCTGAGGGGCCCGCATGCAGGATCTTCCTCAGTCAACCGCGAAAACTTCTCGGGACTGCTATCCTGATGCTCTCGCTGTCTTCGTGTGAAACAATAGACACTTCAACGACTGCATGCCAAGTCGGTTTGACTGTGTACTCCTGCAACCAGCACCTTGTAGAATCACACTGGCTGCTGCTTTCAGAACACGGACATGTCTGCTCACGCTTGTGACTCACGCCCGTGCTCATGTCCTGGTATCACTGCACCATCATCCCCCCCTACCCCATCTGAGCCAATAAGTGCATGCGTGTCATGCTTGCCTATGTTTGCTGCACCCAACCTGCTCAAGCCTGACAGAAAGACCTGCAAACTGCCTCGCCACTGACCCCTTTTACGAAGGCCCCCGAGTGAACTCAGCACCCAAGACTTCTCAGCGAAAGTGGAAGCATGGAGAGTCAGAAGCTCCAAGGTTGCTGCCCTCCTGGCAGGCCCGCCCCGTTGGTGACCGTCGCCGGCGGTGTCCCGCCGAAGGCGGTGTCGACATAGGTTTGGTCCTAGAGGCAGCCGTACAGAGCTCTGGCTCTACCCATGATTCGCGCCACAAAACCTTCGCTTCGAGCATGGCCGGAGGCCGGCCGTCCAGGGTCCTGGTAGTTGTTCCTGGGGTAGGTCGTACACGAGGCACTCGGCGCCTCCAGGGAACGTTCTTTACGACTCCTTCAAGCTCCACCGGCACCCATCTGCTTTGAGCAAGGGAGAGGGAGAGGAGGGCCTGCGCGTAGCAGGAGTACTGAACAGCTTCGTCGCGGCTCCAACCTACGCGGGGCACTGGCATGGACAGATTAGGATTCAATGGGAAAGCGGCGCGGGTCCCTTCTTCCAAACACAAGCCCTCACAGCATACATCGTGGATGCCAGAAGGCGCTGCCAAGGCACAGTAGACGTCGTACAGAGTGCCCCGGTCAAGCAGGTCCAAGCTGACGTCGTTCTGCCAGGACAGTCTGTTCTGGGCAAAACATAATGTTGAGACGTTTTGCCAAAGTCAACACTGCAAAAGCCCAAGCCGCACTCAACTCGGCACAGGCAGCGGGCTGAGGACACCGTCTGCAAAAGAGCGAAGAAGGTCAAAAAGCCAGACCAGACCGGTGCCTCCAACCGCGCCAGGTCGATCGTTGCAGAGAGCCCTGCCCCTCCGGTCTGGTCCGCATAGTAGTCGGCCTGCAGCGGATTTCTTGGGGGGCGTCGAAATGAGCCTCAGCCTGCTGAGATGTTTTGGGACTTGAGATTCAGTCGTAATCATAATCTAGACCCCGACAAGTTGGAAAACGGATTAAGGCCAAATAGTGCTGGAATTCCCTATACATTAGTCTTAAGGATTGAGGATACCGGGTAAGGCGCACCTTGAGGATGCGGTTGACGCTGAGGCTCGTCTCGCCGGAGTCGCTTCGAGTGACACGACAGTAAGCCCTGCAGGCCTTCCAGAGGCAAGGTGGAAGACAGCCAGTGACCGGTTGGGATGCTACTCAATGAGCTCCTGCGATTCCCTCCAGCAGTTGCAGCATGGCATTTGTGCCAGACTCAGACAGCTTGCCCGTCCTCGTTGCACTTGAAGGTAACCTGGATGTTGTTCTCCTGGCGGCGATGTGCAGTTGACCACCCGCCGAAAGTCGAGGCACGAGACCGGCATTGTTCTTTGCCGGGTCCACCGTGGTGCCCTTCGCACCGAGCTCGGTGAAGACAGGAGGCGATTGATCCAGGGTCGTGAGCTGGCCTTCAGTTAACTCAACATGTCCAGCCTACCAGCCTACCAGATGCAGCAGGCAAGCGACCTTCAAGATGCACCGCTGTTCAGCTGACTGAATTTCCAGGACTTTGCTCTATCACCACCATGCCATCAATCAATACATGCCCCAAGCGAGGCCCACACCTATGGCTGGGAAGGTGTTCAGAATCGAAGCCTGAACAGGGGAAAAATTGATCATCTTCTTGCCAGCAGAGAACCATCTAATTAGACCTGTGTCTCATGTGTGGAAGCGACGCACTTCAAATGCAGTAGCACAGCTGCACGGACAAAACTAGCAAAACGATGTGGCCTGTGTCATCTCGTTGACCGTCGGCAGGGTGGAAGCATCAACCGCTGCGCAGTACCTTGCCCAAAGCCCCGACATGGACTCCGGGTAGTGGCTCGTTGCAGTACGTCTAGGTGAGGAGGATGGTGTTCAGGCGGGATTTCAATGCAAAGGCAGCTCTCAACCAAAGTTGTGTTTGAATGTCACTGGCATCAAACAACCTCTCGTCGAAACTGTGGGAAAGCTCGGACGGCGCACGTGTCGTAAAGCGTCAACTCATTCAAGCCAGAGACAACAACCTCCACATTGGTGTTCACTGGACTGTTCGGCCTGCACGTGTCACACGAAAGCAGGGCAGAGGGCGAAGAGGAGCCGAGCTCCAGTGCATGCCTAACGCCGCCGGGTGCTGAGGGCTTGGCGACAGCAGTGGGAAGCCAACGTACGACTGAAAGCCGCCACCAGCAACCTCAGTCATCCAAAGCGCCACTGTCGCGGCTTATCTGAAGTGGTTTAAATGTCTTCGCCCCGCCCCTGGGGCCCGTGGCAGATGCAAAGGTTGGCGTGCCATAGGCTGTTGACGATTGGAAGGAGTTGCAGTACACCTGGGCGCTGCTAGGGTCAAAACAGCTTCCGGGATGACAACACCATGGAAAATTGGCGGCATCGGGGCACGCACTGTTCCTGGCTCGTCCATCTTGACCTTCCAATCGAACAAGCTATTCTGATACTCGTGGCACGAGAGCAAGAGCAGGTGCTCTGAACGAGGCAGAGTGAGATCTCGGAAGAGGTCATTTCATCCCGATGGAAGACCGTCTAGAAAGCTTACACATGTGATCTGAATACAAAGACTGAATGCTCGCTACGGGAGCACTCGACATAAAGGCTGTCGGTTTGGGACTTGCCCAGCCGAACTGGGTTCCATGTCATGTCCCATGCGCCACCTCGATTCGGGTGGCTTGAATAATCATAGTCCCCCCCAGGGCAAGCGAAGCATCCAAAACAGGCTTTCTCGCCCGGGCGCCTTGATCCGGATATCCGAACTGATAGGCGACTCGGCCGAGACGATGGTGAGAACCGGCCTGTTTCGAGGAGCAGAGAACCAGAGGAAGCACAATGAGAATGCAGCACTGCTAGGGCTAAGGCGGAGTTGTGTCCTGAGTGCTCAGGGTGACCACCTGGCGAACAGTCATGTGGTATCAGAAGTGGCCAGTCTGTACTCTGCCCCAAGCTACAATGGATCCGTTCATCTACATGCGCCCCAGGATGCGGCCCTAACCACTGCCACAGGTGCAGAAACAAACACAATGGGTTCTGTAGCTCCGCGCAGTTGATCGCTGCATCGGTTTCATGCCAATCTTCCACACAGAAAACATGCGGACGCACATCACCGGCGACGAACTTCTGGCCGTTGGGAATTTGCGGATAGACATTGTCATCCTCCGCGTAGCACCAAATGTCGTACCTCGGCGCAAACCATGCGAAACATCTAGTCAACATAAATCTTCATTGAAAAGTCTGATAGGCGTGTTGCCAAGACCTTCATGCCCGGACCATGCATCCACTGAAACAGGGGGATTTATTGCCAGGAAACAGCCTGTGTGAGTTAGCCTGAGCCACCGGCAAGGTCTTGGCATCGAGATTCGCCATGGTGACCTCATGTTGCAGAACGTCGAACTCAAGTCAGCCCCGTGCTCTGGCTCAATTCTCGTACGGCAACGACGAGGGCAGCGGTTGAAGTTCTACAATCGCGCAAGCTGGATGCTAAGTCCAATCAAGGTGATGCTTGCCTCTGGCTTCTTGTCTTCGTTGTTGCTGGTTGTGATGGCGGTGAGGATGATGATGACGATGACGATGACGATGCCGATGATGATGATGATGATGATGATGGTGGTGGTGGTGGTGGTGGTGGTGGTGGCGGCGGAAGGAGGAGACACCGATGATGGTCGTCATCATGTCAATAGTCGTGACCATGCTGGCGAGCGGCTCTCCTTGTCACTATCGCTTTTCTTCTTTCGGATGGGATCGGACTGTAAGAAAGAAGACAGGACATCGCGCGTGTTTCGCGTCCGTGTGGGCCGTGTTTGTGTGCTCGGCAGGTCATTGCGGGGGAAAAACGTGCCTGCATTTCGGCCCTACAAGCCTCTGACTCTCACTCACTCACTCTTTCACTCACGCACGAACTCACTCTCTCTTTCTTTCTTTCTGCTGGGCGTAGGGGTCGTTCAGACCCTCAGGCCATTGGCCCGCCCAACCCACCCACTGTGTTAGTGAGCGGTTGGCTTTGGTGTTCTTCCTGAGCGTGGCAAGGAACTACTTAGTGTGCCCCGGGATTTCCTGCAGCGAGCCCCACCCTTTACGCTAAACCGCCCGCGTCCCGGCCTCTTCACCGCGCCCCTATGGCTACATCCCCCGTGCAGGGCTCGCTGGTTTGTTTCCCCCCGGTTGGCACCACTAGTCTGCAGGGTAATGCTGGGAAAGTGCAACCAGCTCGTTGACCATAACAAGTACCCCCAAAAGCCGACTGGTACTCACTCTCTCTCTCGCTCTCTCTCTCGCAATCTCCCCCTGTCCGTATTATCGTCGTCATCGCTGTCGTCGCCGTCATGATCGCGGTCGCGGTTGCGGCGGCAGGAGCAACTGCAACAGCAGCATCAACAACCGTGGTGGCAGTTCGTTGCAGTGGTAATGTCCTGATCGTGGCTGTTGCAGAAGCAGTCGTAGCGATGCATTGCAGCTGTTGTTCTTGCGCTCGTGAGGCAGCTGCAGCTGTTGTGGTCGTGGAGGTTGTGAAAGTGGCGATGGTGCTTTGTTTGCGACGCTGCAGTGAAGGAAGTCCCAGCTTGCGAGACGAGTCTAATCGAGTGCGCTGGGCTCGCCACCGAAGGTTTCGAGCAGATGATACATTTCCATCAAAGGGAACAGTCGAAAAAATCAAACGATTGAAAATGATGTTTAAAGACTACAGGTACAGCGTCCTCGATGTCCGTATGTCCTCGATGTCCGTATTACAGTAGTATTCTGGAATGCAGATGGCATTGGTGTGATTCTTCCTGTTTCCGGCATTGTTGCAAACTTCTCCCTCAGCCTCATATTTGTCATTTTGGGGTGTTCTTGTTACTGGTGTTGATGGTGCTGTTGCTGCCACTGCTGCTGGCAAACCTTGCCTGCCATTAGGTTGTGCTGTGCTCGGTGTCAGTCACACTGAGGCTTCCGGCCGTGCAAGCGGCGGTGAAGCAGTCGACGTCGTATTCGTTGTTCTGGCATCACATGGCCAGCTGATTTGCAGCCAGAGCCGATTTGCTGCAGATTCAGGGCTACAATGCCGACACTGGCCTGGAGAATCTCGTTTATGCTTGGCTCGGCAAAGGTTGACCGCACAGGCATGCACCAGATGGTGCCTGGCTGAACATGTGGAGTCACGCCCCATGACACGCAATCCGCAGCGTGGACATGGGCCTGAAAACGCAGACGAATGGATCCGATGGCACTGCCTACTGGGACTTCAATGCATCGCAGCCTGCTTCGTCCAAGCCGAGCGTGATCTGCAATGAGGTTTCGGACAGAGCGGCGCCTTAAGGCAACTCCGCTTGGACTTCGAAGAGGCAAAGGACATGCCAGAGCCGGGACGAGGGCTCACTGGAGTTCCTGTGAACGTAGGTGGTGTCTGGTCGAGTGTTGTCACCTGCACAGCTCACCGCGAGGTTCAGTTTCAGTGCTCCGATGCGTTAGCGTCAAGACAGCACCTGCCCGATGGCCAAGTTCACTGCAGTCATGTGGGCCTGCTGGACCTGAAAGGATCTGAGAAGTGCGAAGGTCTCACTACGCTCGCACTTATCAATGCACGGGCCTTGTTGGGATTCACAGGCGCTACGAAGGACGGCGAAGGTGAGGGCGTCGGAGCCTGCCGAGGGCTCAGGGGATTTGGGATTTCGCGAATCTGAGCAGCGCTGAGGTGCTAAAGCACGGCTTCCCCTTGCTTCGACCATTGACCTTCATCCTCGGAGTTGCCCCGAAGCTGCTGGAGACTCAGGCACGGCTCTGCTTGGATGCATGAAGTTGGGCCTGGTTCACCCAGTCATCTTGGGCGAAACACCAGACGTAGTAGAAGTAACTGGCACAGGGAGGCAGTGACTTTGGCATCGAAGGATCTGTGCTGGCACTTGGCACATCTTGGCGATTGCAAAGCTGCTAAAGCACACAACATCGACAGAGCTAGGCGCACTTGCCCACCATGGCCTCTCCAGCCTGGGCGTGATACTTCGTGGAGGTGTGTCAAACCAATGTCTTTCTTTTTTAGAAAGCTGCAGAAACATGCGGAAACGGCGCGGCCAGATGGCGAGCGGACGAGGAAAATCGACCGGGGCCGGCACGACAGTGGCCGTGACCTTCTCAATGCGGGTCATGTCAATGTCGAAGTCCTGGACGAGGTACGAGTAGCCAAACACCTGGCTTCCTTGGCTACCCCCGGGCCTGGTACGGAACATGCACCTCCTCCATGAAAACGGTAGAGTCGGAACCCCCACGATTGACACCTCGCGTTCAACTCCGGGTCACGAAAGCCGAAGTTGTCTGTGATCATGGCACTCATGCGTCGTGACAGGTTCCGCCTTGAATCCATGTTTCATAGTAGCACGGGTCCGAGGACGTCCTCAGCGGAGCCCGAGCAATGCTACGACTGCTACGATCTATCCCACGACAAGCGCAGAAAGACATGCCAATCTCCCGCGTTGGCCCATGCCCTCAATCTAGGCACCAGTCAGGAAGTCGATCGCGCTGTTCTGGCAATATCTCGTGCCAGTCGGGGAGCCGTCCTTCCAGCTCTGCTTCCAGTGGCTATGTCGCTACATTCAATCAGTGCCCGTCTCCCCCGCCTGATCTGCCACTTGGCACCACACAGTGCCAGGCCTCGGCAAGTGGATCAAAGTCTGCGGCTCTCATTCTTGTGATCTAGTGCTCCAGCCACATGTCACAGAATCAAGCAACTGCTTCAACCCACTAGCCTGTGGGACACAACTACAGCGGCCCTCTTCAGCGCGCGGCTCGTTGAGCTGCAAGGTGACCTGGATGTGTGATTCGCCCAAGGCCTGGCAGCTGGCATGCACATCCACAGACGAGTACGACTTGGGTAGACATATATTGGGAGATAGATAGATCAGAGTCCTAGTATGCAGACTTAACTAGATAGATGGATAGATAAGATAGGTAGATAGGTAGATGGAGAGATGGAGATATGGAGGGATGGAGAGATAGAGAGATAGAGAGATGGGCAGATAGAGAGAAAGAGAGGGAGAGAGGGAGAGAGAGAGAGAGAGAGAGAGAGAGAAGATAGACCCTGGCTTGCTGTCCAAAAATTCCCGTCCTCACGAGATACCACGATGATGGTTGGCGGCGTAGTGTCTGTGATCCAGACATTCTCCGTGAGCCCTGGCTCAAGAACCAATTCCAAACAGGTCAGTTTTCAACAAACTTCCCCCCAAGGGTGCTCTGTCAGCTGGCAGATGACCGCTAGAATGACCGGATGTACACCGAGCATACACTGGTATTCACCACTCCGCATCACCTTGACGAGAAGCCCGTGACTTCAAGCTGTATGCCGTCACCCTCAACTTCGAACAACTGCTGCACGCATTGCCTAGGAGACCCACGTGATCCTGCCTCCAGACGGGTTGTTGACATCCTTTCAGGACCACCGCGCAACAATCACATGTCTCCATCTCAAGTTCTCGACACCCTACAATCCAGGACTCATCAAGTCTTGCGGCACTACTGGGTCACGGCAACAAGACACTACAGCCAACCACTCTCTCCGATAGCAATCGCTAGCCACTCAACTTGCAGTAATCTCATCAGAAAATCCTAGCGTACCTCTCTGCGGTAACTGTCTTAGCTTACTGGTTACTTTAGCCTACTGACCGCGGCCTAGGGCTCTGCTACGAATTGGACAGCGCTACTCTGCCCACGGTGAGCATGTTTGCAAGAAGTGAAGGCTGAGTCTCGGGCGGCTCCAACCGCCGTCTCCACCGTGCTTTGGGACATGTAGTTGGGACGTGCGAAGCCATGCGTGTCCACCTTGGCCAGTCATGCTCTTCGGCTTGCTGACAGCTTCCCGCTCTGAGATGTCTTCCACTGCGCCCGTACCCAGCTTCCGCGAAATGCTCGGGAGACGAATTGTGTTTTGGGAAAGCTGAGGCACTCACAGCACTGTCTTTAGCCCAGCAGTACACGTCGTACTGGGAGGCTTCGTAGAGCACACTGCGCACAAGCTCGGGTCAGCATGAGAGACAGAACTTAGAGCTTTGTTGATGTCACATGCTACGATTATCTGTCGCCGGGTCAGTTCAGGGCCTGGAGCTTTGAGCAGCGATGGGACTCCATGCCAGCCCTCCAGGCCTGGAGGGATCGCGCGCCTCCAGACTTGTGATCGTGATCGTCCCCACGTCATTGACGGGATCGAAGATTTCCTGCCAACATGAACTGCGACAGTGCAAGTCTGTGCGAGTCTCTCCTTTCAGCCGGCAAGGCTCAAGAAGGTGCTGTGAGCCCCTAGGCCTGGGAGAAGTCTGCGGACAGGATCTGATTGATGTGCAACGTTGGCTCGGCCGAGTCGCTCCTCACGGAAGCACGGAAGCCTGAACTTCACCGTCTCAGCAACACGGACGTGGCTGATGTGAGGCCCTGGGGTGGTCCTCTTGGCCCGGCAGTACGCAGTGCCCGCCTTTCCACGTGACGAACGCGTAAAGACGCGGCTGCGAAGCACCAGTGCAGGGCCTCGTTGAGCTTGAACGTAACCACGATCTGGTTGTTGACGGCTGTTGGGTCTGGAATCTGCAACCTGACAAGAAGAGCTCTTCTGCCGTCTTTTGCACCGCACGAGCAAAATATGTCAGCCTCGTGAAGATTGGTGGGGACTCGTCCAAGGTTTGCACCTGGGCCAAAGTCCCAACTACAACGCTCCCGCTTCGGAATCCCCTCGCGGGTTGGCCAACACCACCTGTGGATGCAAAGTGGCCAAGGACGCAGGAAGCCGCTGCTGTGATAGCGAAGGCATACGACACAAAAGCAGTTCCACGAGACCCGAATTGGAAACATCCTTCCAGACATCCTGAGCCTTCGCCCTTCCACTAGATTTTTGTGAAATACTGCTCCCTCTGGAGATGCACCAGGTGCCACGAACCAGCGTTGCTTTGCTCCCCACGCAACAGGAAAGCAACTGGGGGCAGGACGGTGCCAATTTCCTGCTGCATGGTATGCATGTTGTCGGAACCTTGCAGTGGCATGAGAGTGCTCGCTGGACTTTGATTCGCTCCAAGAGAGCGTGCCCTCAAAAGGGCAGAGGAGCAGCACCACGTCTACCAAATGCTGCAACTTCCTAGAAACTGCGCGCAAGCCAGGTCAGAAAGGCTGAGTGTGATGCCACTAGCAGAGCTGTCGAAGATCATTTTGTTCGGCCCGTTCGGAGGCACCTCGATCTGTAGGGTTGAGAGGCCACGTTCTATCATGGGATCGTCTCGCTTCAAAGTAGAATTGACAGGAGGCCACACCTCGTCATCTTCTGCAAAGCAGTAGATGAAGGGATAATCCGTCTCCTCCTAACAGGCATACGCTAATATAATTTTGATCGTTCTCACCACTCCCCAGGCAACAGATGTACAGCTGAGCCTGGAGACCAGAGACAATGATGTCCACATCCTGAAGACTGAAAAACAGTTGGACGGCAAGAGTTCTGTTCGTGAAAGAGTGCCCGAGGCAAAAAGCAAAGCCTGATTGAACTTCCATTTGTAGATGTCGTCATAGTCCGCTCGGGAATTAACGCCTCGGCACGAGACAGCTTTCGGTGGCTTATTCCTTCTGACCGCAGCAACGAAACGTCTTGGCACGCCAAATCGTGTCGTAGGGTAGGGGCCTGTGTCTGCCTGGTCAGAACTGGATCAGCGAAATCTAAGTTTGGTGCCATCCGAATCCGCATCTTCAATGTCATCCAGGTCGTAGACCCAGAACCTTTGCAAAGGCTCTTGCCGCGATCTTCGCACGACTGTGACTCTCAACAAAAGAATGGCAACAAGGAGCCAAGCGGTGCCCAGCACCTGAAAACCTGGGACCTAGGAATCCTGGAAGCTGGCTCGCGGCCGCACGCTCAGCTTCACACGTGCCGCACTGATTGCCTCAACCACAGCTTCTTGCGGGCAAAGTCTTGCTCTTTCATCCGAAGCTTCGAGCTTCTTCCCTTCGTCTATCGAGGTCCGCACCTCGCCCATCCTGGCAGTTGGCATCCTCGTTCTTGATCTTCGTCTCTGCATCCAAGGAGTCGGTGAAAGCCGGATCGGTGCCTCGTCTCCCGAAAGATGCAAAAGGCGACTCCCGATCCAAACGGAATCGCGAGCCCTGCGTTCATGCCCTCCTGCTCCGCCAGATACTGTACAGTTCCAGTAGCAAAGCTCAGCTGAACCGGAATATGACTTGCTGCCAGCTCTGGGAAACCCAGAACTCCTTAGAATGGCAATTCACCTACCTAAGCCTCTTTGGACCCGCTGTGTTTGGCCAAAGCTGGTTCTGAGGCTGCACACTCCAGGCGGCGCACCAAACCATTGCACCTGTGGATCTGTGTTTGGACGTTCGGGCACATGAATTATTCGCTGCAAGAAAATAGTTGCTTGACAACTTTTGTCGGCGCACACAGACAAAAACTTGTGAGATCCGTCCGCGGCAATCAGCATGCAACACTTCGGTTTGCCTTCATCCACCTGCAAAGTGATGAGGATCCGGTCGCTTGCAATGGACTCCGCTGCGACGTACCTGGCAGAAGCAGCGACCTTTTGGGCTTTTTGGCTGCACCTCTGTTTGTGGCGTTCTAGCTGTACATGGGCACGGATGGCTACAACTACAATGTATGAGGCAGAGTGGAGACAAGATAGTTGCTCGCCTCATGTTCGGATTGGTGTAGTCCTTGGTGCGGATGGAGTCCTTCGTAGCCACGACCTGCCACGACGACAGGAATAGCCGCCGCCTCACGCTTGAAGTGAAGCCTTGAATCTGGGGCCCCTGCTGCGCTGAAGGCAACACCATTCGTGACCTGGGTCACTGTCAGGCTCTACTAAAAGCCATCAAAGCCTATTTTCCACCGTCTCCATTCCTCGTTCATTCCCGACCCATCTGTTGCTCTTCTCTTCTCAGGCAACGACCCGGCATCCTAGGCACAGATCATCCGAGGCATAGCAGTAGACCTTGCAGAAACATGAGGCTCCCACTGCTGTCGCTTCGACTTCCTATGGCTCAGTTTTGCGGTAACGGGCAATGCACCGCTGAGTTGTCTCGAGGAATGGAACTGAGTGCGGTATTTCTGGCACGTACAAGTGAGGCTTCAGAGCAGCAAGGGCTGCTCTCTAAATGCTGCTTTCTCCTTCGCGATGCTGGAACGCATACCCGCGGGCTGTCCTATTGAGCTCTCACTGACGCAGCGCATGCACGAGCTCCACATAGCCCTCCTCTTCGGGTCGAACGAATCCACGGCGCACCTTGACACTGCAGGAGCGGTGAAGGTGACTCTGGTGGCAGAATCTGGGAATCAGAGGCTCGAACAAGCATGTCAATGATAACAACGGCGACCTCGGCAGCAGAAAGATCACATGCAACGTCAAGCGAACTGAGCAAGACCAGATCCCAAAGAACCTAGCCCTGGATGTAGTTGCATGTCAGCGACGTTCGGCTTCCAGTCCGGCTCTGACGATGACACGAGCGAGTCAATGACGGCATCCATGCCTGGGTTGCCAGTTGCAGGCCGAATCAGGCGCTACAGATGCTACAGCGACGGAGCCCTTCAGCAACCCAGCCTAATGAAGCCACCGACATCCTCCAAGGCCGTGTATGCTAGCCAAACTGCTGATGTGAAGTGCGACGCGAGCTGCCAGTTTGACTGTTGACAAGTGGGGCTGGAAGGGCAAAGGGCACAGGGCGAAAAGGGCGAAAGGGGGAAAAGGGCCAAGGTGCCCATTAGCTCGAAGCGTTCCACCTCCCCATCACCGGCCGTGGGCTGGAAGTCCTCAGGGAGGGTCCTCGGAAGGCGGCCAGGTTAACCGTTCGGAAAGCTTCCCAAACGGGACGACCCACGACCCACCACTGGCTGACAGGTGGCAGATCGTAGCAGAAGATCACATCTCTTTTGACGCCCCATCCTTTCCAAGCCGTGGCCACACGGCAAAATGCAAGGCTGCTGTCGTGCTATTGGCATCGGTCATGTGGAAAGCCGCCAGAACCATGAGACTCAGCTGTATATCCGTGGATCCGGTCCTGTCTCATCAACTTGACAATAAGAGACGACTCCAGTCCTGAGAAATCTGAGGCATTCACGGCGAAAACTTGGGAGCCCCTTCACCAGGCGGCACGAGTAATCACGCCTTCTCCAGTAACAGAAACATGTCAAAGACACCAAACCAGCCAAAGTGGCGGCTGCGCGGTTTGCGCGAGCTCCTTTGGCACGCGCGCCTCCTCGAAGCACTCCCGGATCCTCGGGTCAGATCTCTGTCCAAAGCTGGACCGTCGTTCTCGCAAGGCCTACACACCTGGACCGGAGCCAACTGAGTGCTTCTCACGTTGTCACCAGGCAGCTCGCCGTGCGACAGTCCTCCTGAGGGGGCATCCCCGAACAGAGGTCCTTCACGAAGCGGAGGCATCCACCGCGGCAAATGTGTCCTGCTACGACATGGTCCAGACGGCCCGGATATGTCGGCTTTGTCCGTGACCGTGTGGCAACCTTGAAGGTACTGTACGCAGCAGATACCCTTTGCACGTAGGCCTTCTCATGAACCTCATGGGCTGCATGGCATACGACAGCCTGTCACATCAACATGACGCGACACCACCCCACAGTGATCCTAATGGGAGATGGCAGCGCTGTCAGGCCACGGGGCCCAGAGCAATGGGCCCTTTGCTGATTCCAC